ATTTGGATGTGATACAAAGAATGAAATGAAGTGATAAAGAGTAATTGATCGTGAAAATGGAAAATTGCAAAAAAATAAGTCACATTATTTGTGCCTATTTTTCTTTATTGTGGTTTTAGTAGATAGTCGATTTTAATGATACAATAGGGTTTTTGTGTTCATAACTATTTAAAACCCGTAAAAAGAGCCGTGGTAGCTCGGATGCTTAGCGCTCGCTGTAAATTTCACAGTACACTAGCAAACCGGGTTCAATCCCCGCCGGCAACAATGAAATTGTTAATTGCAATTTTAAGTGCTGATTTACCACGTGCTCGGCGGTGAAGTAAAACATCCTGAGGAAACCTGCATGTCTGAGAAATAAGAAAAAAATACTTCGAAGACATGTGAAGTTCGTCAACACGCATTAGGGCAGCGCGACAGACACTTCCTTGCTCTAAAACCCTCTCAGAAATGAGGGGAGGCCTGTGCCCAGCAGTGGGACGTATAAAGGCTGTAACTTTACTTTACGTTTTACTAACTATTTGAATATTCTCAAGGAATCTTATTTAAAATTTAATTCATTCAAGCGACAGTAGCCTTGTGGTTATTTGTAACGGCACTGCCCCCACTAGATGGAGTGACAATCTTTTAAGTCGTGTAGATGACTTAGGGCCGTGCAATTGTGGAGTTCCTTGGGGGAGGCTTATGTTCAGCAGTGGACTTGTTAAGGGCTGTAATGATGATGATAATCGTATCCGCTATTGAACGACGGTCGTAAACTCACGAAACACTCCTAACACGAACACTTTAAGCCTACTTGAAATGGTGACTAATGTAAATAATAAACTAATACTAGTACTAGAATTACTAGTATTCTTTAAAAAATATTATTTTGCTTTGTTTATAATCAATATGAACTTGTGTAAAATAATTTCAAAAATGCCACGTGTGTCAAATGACAACTATGGCAAACTTCACCGTAAACATATGAGCAACGACAATAATTGATATTTTTTTAAAATTCTATGTATTATATTCTTATATTATAAACATGCCTTAGTTCCTCAACAACGCACCTGTGGCTTTCTTTTCTTAAAGTTGGATACAGTGGTTCATATTCTGCTGTAATTAGTAACCATCAGATGGATTGATAGTTCTTTAGTCACATGAAAGAGTGAACAAAGCGTTGAAAATTGAAATTTCCTTATCATAGCTCATCGCATAATCTAAGTTAAAAGTAAAGTTAGAACCTATATACGAGTACGTCCTGAGCAGGTACGCGGTAAATCACCACATAAAATTTCAATTGACAACTTAGCTAATCTAAATATTAATTTTAAATCCACAACCACAAAGCAATTTTCAACACGGGAGTACTTTCTAATTCAGTTTCCCCTTGTGCTGGAAGTTTCCGAGGGCGTATCGTCACCTTCGGGCTTTGCGCAACTCGGTGTTAACCGGAATCACTAATTATGATGTACGTGGTAGGAACACATGTGAAGTACAACGTGTCCTTTGTGGAGGAAGCCACACGTTCGAGTACTTTGCACCTTTGTTCATACATTTGTAACCGGTTTGGGATTCAATTAAAAATCAGTCTCAGGGTTGTTTTATAATTCAATTGAGCGTAATTTTATGACAGCTATTATAGTATAGTCTAGATTTACTCTTTAGCGTTTAGCGAGCGTACAGTCCACCTGATGAAACTATCAACGCTTGTTTATTCACTTGTTTATTTTTGATTTACTTAATACTAGTCTTCCAAAAGTCTATTTCAGAACATATGCCTCACCCGTAGATTATCTCATATGGAGGACATTTGATATAGTTGCCAAGCATGTTGTTTGGCAACACTGGATTTTTTATTATTATTTGGCTTTGTATCAAGGAAAGGCTAGTTTCAGTCCTCTCAGTCGCCTCTTACGGCACCACCGCGGTTTTATGGGGCAGTGCATTGTTTTAACCCTTTCACTGCCTTGTTAGTTACTTTGTACGATTAGTAGTATTGCATTTGAAACATGACTGACGACAGCGTATTTAAGGTGCTACGACACGGCAATGAGGTTTAAAACATAGTAATTTTATATAGCCATGATACCTCAGATGGTTAGCGCTCGCTGTAAATCTCAATGAAATCTGCATGTCTGAGAAATAAGAAAAAATATTACTATGACACGTGAAGTTCGCCAACACACATTCGGGCAGCTCTACGGACACTTCCTTGTCCTAAAATCCTCTCGGAAATGAGAGGAGGCATGTGCCCAGCCGTGGGACGTATATAAGCTGTAAACTTTTACTTACAGCAAACAGTTTATTAAACTATGACAATAAACTTAACATCAGTTTCCCTACTCGTAAACTCCCAACTATAAAAGAGTAACTGATTTTTTTAATATAGAGTAAAGTTGATAAATGAACCCACAGTTCACCTGATGATAAATGGATGCTGTGGCCCATAGATACCTTCATATACCTTCAGTTAAGAATTAAAATGAAAATGCGTTGTTACCCTTGAGGACTAAGATGGAATACCTCATTTCGAGTAATAAGGGGAGACCCTTAGGGAGGGTTCTCTACACTCACTAAATGAAACACAGCTGCTATTTTATTCTGGTATGCTATGAGAGCGTGGTCCTTCTCCAGTCGAGTGGACGTATACGTGCTGCAACCATAATATAGTTGCGGCTCTACAACGTATAAAGAAGGTATTACATTTACTATCATTCTATATCTATATCTATGTACTAGTATTCGTAATTTACGGCTTATTCTATCGAATTTGCGGCAATAAAACGATGGCAAATATCACTGCTACCTCTAGTGGCCTATTCGTTGGAATTAGAACTAGAATTATTGCTATTTCAATCACCTAATCGGTAGCGTATAGGCGAAATTGTGATATTGAATTATATCAGTTGGTTTATCTGTGGAAATAGGTATGCGATTACACATGAGATTGCGTGAATTGCCTTAACACTCTGTGATGCTAGAAGAACATTGTTTGGCTCAGTTAGTGAATTCTCTAAAAACCTGACCCGATTTACTCTTGAAACCCTTCAAATCTTTTATGGTCGTGTCTTAAACATCAGGCTTTGATTCATTCCAAAACTTTAATCTGGACGCATGATCGCAACGTCGCTTTAGATTAAGTTACAACCCTCTAAATAATTACAAGCTGCGATTGCTGTCGTGAGCCACTTTGTGTCTAAGCGTGGCTATTATGGAAAATATTCTCCCACTATGAGGTCAAATTATGATGATATCTATGTTCAGTGGTGGCAGGATGTAATTAATGATCCTTGACTAGATATTGCGGTCAGTGGCGAAGCTAGAGCTCCAAGCTAGGGCAAGCCCAAGATATAAATTGATAAAAATATAGATTGTTGTTTTTAGCAGTTTTATAAAAAATTCACCAATCTTGATCTGTCTCCACGCTTCAGTTTCATATTCAGTGCTGTCAAGGACGTGTTTCAAAGCACACAGAAGGTATACCACTGCTAGATAGATTGTATTACATATCAGCAATTGCATAGCTTCGGTGGCTTTGAAGAAAGCCGTTTGGGTTTGTTTAAGCGAAAGAAAAAAAATATTTACATCCAATACAATACATGAACAAAAGTAAAACACGAACAAAGTACAAACAAATTATGTACAAAATTAAAAAAAAAATAATTATTTACATTCTAATGGATAAGAAATAAGATAAGATAAGTGGAATCGTCTCGCTTTCTTATGGAAAGATTTAATTACGTCCACGTAAAATTTTGTGTGAACGTTTTAATTGTACCAATAACTGTTTTTAATTGCGATAATTGAAAAGTCTGAAATACACTCTTAACCTTGTGTATTATCTCAACAAAGTTTAAAGATTTCCTCACCGATTATCACTTTAACACACTTCAATTCATCACAAGGAACACTATTATCCTCCATTTTGATTAAAAATCTTTAAAAAAGCATAAATTTTGAACTCGTAATATTAAATCGCTTAAGATAAGCACACAGAGTAAATAAACATTGAAACGTGAAATGAACTTGCAAACGTATTGCCCGCGCGCCTCCGCTTTTAACAAATTTATTCCCAAAAGCCTGGCTTTAAATCTCTATACTAATTGCTATATATACAATCGTAGTTATATTTCATTATAGAATATTTTGCCATAGGTTAGAAAGAGAGCGATCGTCTTCTCGAAAGCCCCGTAAAAAGCCCACGCGAGCGAGGGAGACAACTATTAGCTCTATTAAAACTCATTTTTTATGACAGCAGCAGTATCGCTAAGGCAATACGAGGTCATCGGTCGACATGTGTCGAACAGAGGAGTGCGCGGGAAATTTGAAATAGCTTGAAACATTTTACGAGTTATTTTATTAGTTGATATTATTGATTGATTCAGGTTTAATAAGGCAAGCCCGGCTTTTTGGCTTTAATGGAAGCTTCGCCACTGTTGCGGTATCGAAAACCACATGGCTATGAAGTGCATGATCTGTACACATTGTAACTGCTCGCGAACGTATACGTGCATCTATCTAAGGAACTACTTACTCATCCCAGAGGACATACACACACACACACACACACACACACACACACACACACACACACACACACACGCACACGCACACATGCATACACACACACATACACACACGCATACACACACACACGCGAATACACACACACACACACACACACACACACACACACACACACACACACACACACACACACACACACACACACACACATACACACACACACACACACACACACACATACACACGCACACACATGACGTGTGTATGTGTGTGTGCTATAAATATTATATAGGCAAATTAAGTCGCACGATTTCTAACCTTTATTTACTTTCCATAATAATGTGTCCTATAATATGTAATCCTTTTATCCCATCCTAAATTAATAGCCAAGTGGAACTCACAGGATCACATCACGCAGTTAATTTCATCAAGTAAAAGGTTAGTCATTACTAAAGTATTTTAAGATTTCCGACTCCTGTTTCGAGATGACAGGAATTTTTCTTCCGTTTGATTTGCGTAAGTATTGTTCCAAGATTTCCTATGGGCGAGTTGGAAAAAAATTTCTTCGAATATTAAGGTTAGTACAAAGAAGAAAAATATATGTACTCTTTAATGTAAATATTATCGTTTATTGAAAAAATATACAGTAACACGAACACGAAAAAATCAGACAAATAGTTTGTGTTACAGGGGAGTTCGTGTAATCCGAACAATGCAAAAAATGAATTCGTATCTAAACTCAATATTATGATTCATCATAGAAACATTTTTATTAATAACTTTGATATTATTATTTTATATTTACAATAATTTTTTGTTATAAATTTTTTAACTTAACATTATTATTATGTTCATCAGACATCAGTTTATATGTACACTTCTTAACAAAGCCAAATTGTTAAGAAGCCATTGCTTTTGTTAATTAGTTTTCAAAAGTTTACAACCTTTTCAATAGCTTTTGTAAGACGGAAAGAAAATTTGAGGTATGGTTTCTATTTTTAGGTATTCGAGTGGTGAATGTTTGATATCCTAATCCTTGCGTGGTGTTTATTTTGAAGTAGAGTTTATAAGTATTTTGAGCAATATTAGTTTTAAGTATATAATGACTGAAGACTTTGTTTTAATTCTGTTGTAAGTTTTATGAATTTTATAGTTAGATTCGTTAAACTTCTGGAGGAAAATAGCTACTTGACAGCAGATGCATTTTGTTTACTTTGCCATTGTTTACCGGTATTTGTATTGACCGAAAAAGGACAAAAAATATACAAAATACATGATTTGGGAATTTTTATAGTTCGTATTATCCGATAATTGACCGTGAAGGGACGAAAAAGTTGTTCGAAGTTCGGATTAACGAGGGTTCGTCTTAACCGAACATATTTACATTGAAGCTTATGGAACTATTTTCTAGAGCAAATTTTTGTTCGCCTTAAACCAAAATTCGTGTTAACCGTGTTCGCATTAACGAGGGTTTACTGTAATAAAAAAACTAAAAATTTTAATTATCATACAATCCTTTTGGACATCATAGGCACGAAATCCTATGATAAATTCTCTTATCTTAAATTAAAAAAAATTATGAAAAAAAAATTATTATGATTTGCTTTATGAGAGCTCTTTTCTGAAATCTAATTAATGTTTTTGAGAGCTTTCATTTCAATTGCCCCTTTATAAATATAGAAATAGATTCGTACCTACTTATCACACCTTTTACTATCACCGTAATTTGGTCAGATTTATTTTAAATTAATGAAATTTTTACTATTATAAAGAGGGACTGCGAATTTTGTGACCTAAAAAGCAACATAAAACGCTGTTACTGTGGTCCAAATCTCAGATCTGAAGGATACGAAGAACGTTATTGATGGCTTGGAGCATGGGTTGTGTTAGACATAGTGAATAGATGTTCCCATTTAACACTTCAAATTACTATTGAGCAATTGATTCAAGCCGCAACAGTACAATCAAGAACATTCCATCAGTAAATGTTCGCTTATATTTTTCTTCAAAATATTGTTTTTTATTGTTTTCTTTGTATGTTTATGAGCCAAACCGCCGTTAAATATTTGTTCGTGAATTGGATATACCCTGAATGTTTTTTTCTGTACACATACCAAATTTATGAGTTCGCAGAAAATTTCTTTGATTCAATTTCTATTCGCTGTTGTCAAAGGGATTCTTAATTTTTTTCCCGCTTTACAGTCACTTCGGAAATACTTCCATAAGCAATTACTTCTCTTGGAGACATATTTAAGTATTTTCTTTGTAACTGAGATGTTTGACGTCCCAATGTCATGGTTAGCCTGGCTACCTTCAGTTTTTAAATACTAATTTTTGGTCCGATCTACGCAGAACGAGCTTACAGTATCTTGAAGTCTTGCAGTGGTATGCTTGGGTTTGGGTTTAATTTTGTTAATTATAGGATTCCAAGCCGATAGCAGCACCATCCATCTTCTCTATTTAAATTAGGATGTTTTTTTTTAATTTCAATAGTCTCGCATATTTCGTAGGGATCGGTGTTATATTGCGAGGTTTTGTGGTTTATCAAATCCGATGTAATGGTGGGAACGATCTTGAACATTTTCACAGACTGAAGACTTCCCGGAGCGTCGGTGATATGTTCACGTCAGCTATATTGTGTTCTTTCAAGTGGGTTTTTATAGTCAAAAAAGATTTGACTTATGTAAGAAAGACCACATTCACAATCTAGCTTGTACACTCCTGCATATTGTAGAGGAATATTACTATTGATGGATGGTAAAAATTTATTAATCTTCTTCGGCGGCTTGTAGCATGTTTTAATGGAAGCTCGCTTTAAAATATAGCCAACCTTGTCTGTGACACTCCTGACATACGGTAGTACAGCAGACACACGCTCGACTGTCAGCTTCACTCGCTCACTGAGAGGTAGGAGCGGGACCCGAAGCTTGTTGTCTTGCAATATTTGTTTGACGTGATGGAACTCGGTGGCCAGATGTTTTCTTTCACAGATCCCTTCTGCTCTCTGAAACAAAGATTCACCTACGGTAGCTAACTGTGAGGGAGGATGGTGAGATTCACTATTTAAATATCGGTTGGTATGGATCTTTTTCCTATACACAGTGTGACCAATAGTCTTATCAGGATTTCGGATGACTAAACATCTAAGAAAGCTAAAGAATTATTTACCTCTAACTCCATTGTGAATTGTATTTTAGAGTTTATGGAGTTAAGGTGGTCTAAAAATACAGTTACTTTGTCAGATGGTAAAATTGTGGAAGTGTCGTCTACGTACCGCTTGTAGAATTTTGGATTTATAGGAGCAGTAAGAAGGTCTTTCTCCTCAAAGTCTTCCATGAATATGTCGGAGACTATGGGAGATACAGGCGAGCCCATGGCCACACTTGTAGAACTTTTCCTTCTGGAGGTAAATACAGTTTTATTCAAGGTGTAGTTTTCGCGTAAATTTAAGAAATCATAATGCACCTGTATTTCGATTCCTTATGAAGATAGATGTCTATGGCTCACAGCATACGATTAACATCAGGTGGAATGTGTGTTGGTTTGTTATCCTTATTCAATTAAAACTAACAAGCAACAGTAGCGGTTAAAGGTACCGGCTGCAAATATAAAAGTCTTGAATTCGAATCCTCCATTTAATTATTGTTGTGAATCTTATTCTTGTCCTCCAGACTGAATTTTGGTTACGCAAAATTAAGAGCTTTTCTTTGTTCCTTTGATTCTCATCTTGATCTAGATATTCAAGTTTCCTGACACGATTTTTTTACTCCGCCAAGCACGTGGTAAAAATCAGCGTTAAAATTGCTATTAACAATGTCATTGATATCGGCGGAGTTTGAACTCGGTTCCTTCGCGTGTTGGAACTTTACCGTGTTTACACTCCGAGCTATCACAACTTCAACCTTTTTTGTCCTTTTTATAGGATAAGGATAACAAACGAGCACACAGTCCACCTGATGGTAAGTGGTTGCTGTGGCCCATAAACATCTACATCTATCCTCGATTACGAATCAAAATGCAGATGCGTTGTCACCCGTGAGGACTAAGATGGAATGCCTCGTTTCCAGTAAGAAAGTTCTCTGGTTCTCTACACTCACCATACGAAACACAACAGTCAAGCTGCTATTTTACGCTGGTATTCTGTGAGAGCGTGATCCTTCCCCAGTCGAACCGACCCATTTGCGCTACAACTTTACAATTAATATAGCTGCAGCATGGCTCTACTACGTCTGAAAACGACTTCGGCCTTTTTTACCCTTAGTCGATTTAGGTATATAAAAAAATATCAGTATGCAACACGATATCTTTGAAATGACAAAATCGACTTATCTCGGTTTATTTTATCACTTCTGGCATTTCTCTCTATCTGTATGTGAAGTTTCATTGGAATCGATTCATCTATTTTAAGGTGCCCATTACACAGTAGGTTTTGCAATCAGTTTTACAATAATCACGGTTGTGATTGACGAATAACCTACCGTGTAATGCAGTGATTGACGCCTGCATGAACGCGTAATGTACGCCGTAAGATTACTCCGGACAGACGCGTCTGCTATGCCTCTAGTGTTGCAGTTGCCCATGGCCGGCGGACGGCGGTAGTCACCATTAGTTGCGGCGCAAGCTCCTTTGTTTCTTCTTATATCAAAAAGAAAAAGATTTTAATACATGTACGGACACTTCAGCTTCTTTACATTTACTATAGATTTCAAATAGTATTTCGTTACCTTCTTACCTTTTATTGTTGACTGGAATTAAATAATGAGGATAAATTGAAATATTTAATTTCAATTTATCCTCATTATTTATTTAAATAATCTGGTTTTATTTAAATAAATAATTTAATTTAATTAATCTGGTTGACATTAATTTTAAATTTTTAAATGAATTCAAATATTTCAATTTATCCTCATTATTTATTTAAATAATCTGGTTTTATATAATGATATGGTATTAACAGTTTGAGGTGAGGATTTCCTAAATTAAATGGATTTTGGTTTCCCTTCCTCTACATGCATATTATTTGTCCAGCACGAAGTAAGCGTGCGATATGCGCTGGACAAAATGTTAAATAATTCTTAATTTGGAACTTTTATAATCAAAAATTAATGTAGATTTCTGTGGGCTACAACATCCACTTACCATCAGGTAGACTGTATGCCCGCTTGTCACCCTTACACTATTGAAAAAAGGATTTAAATAAAAAAGGTAGCAGAAAAATATTATATGGTTATCGCTTTAAAAGCAAAAACTCGGACGTCAAAGCTTTTTCCAGGCGATCAAATAATAATTTTATCTCCGTTAATATAGTGTTTAATCCATTATTATTTAAATTGAGTATTTCATAAATGTGGATATTTTTTCCGAGCACAGGTATACTATTTAAAGAAATTTCAGTTCTCAATTGAATTGACAATTGAATGCAATTCTGTTATCAATTATCCTGCAACTAATCTGCCGTTTGCAGCTGTTCTTGGGCGGCAGTTGTCACTTGTTGTGTTGTGTTATAAAAAAAATCTCGAACGGCAAGATCGTTTCTTAAATTCGCATATTTTTGTACAACCTGGCCTTAAGGAAAATATACAAAAGCTGTAGACTTCTGTCTTACTAAGCATCCGGTAATCTCCACAGACGTGGCAATTAGATGGGTGGGTCCGGCGCGCTCGTGGCTGCCGTGCTCAGCGGGCGCGGAGCCGCGCCGCCCGCCGCCCCCCCTCGACGACGCGCGCGCCCGCCTCAAGCCCTACTTCTGGAGACTTGATGGGGAGGAAGTCAACCCTAAAAGGTATGCAACTTATACATAATATTTGTTTACAAGCTTCTTAAGTACAGGAAAATCCCTGCAGGTATAAGTAAGTCCGACAGCTTACAAGTTTTATTTTAAAGAATAAGGGATTTAAAGAAAGTTTTCTTCCTCGCACAACTTCCTTGTGGAATCGACTACCACTAGAGATTTTTCCGGACCGATCCGACTTAGGGACCTTCAAGCAAAGAGCCTACTCCTTTTTAAAAGGGCGGCAACGCATCTGCAATTCCCCTGGTGTTGCAGTTGCTTATGGGCGGCGGTGATCACTTACCATCAGGTGAGCCGTGTGCTCGTTCGTCTCCTCTCCTATAAAAAAATGAGCGCACAGCCCACCTGACGGAAAGCGGATGCTGTGGCCCATGGATATCTACATTTATCCTCGAATTACTATCAAAATACAGATGCGTTGTCACCGCTGCGGACCAAGATAGAATGCCTCGTTTCCAGTACGAAGGGTCTCCGGTCCCTACACTTAATTTCGAAACACAACAGCGTTAAGCAGCTATTTTATGCTGATATTCTGTGCCAACGTTGTCTTCCCTTGGTCGAGCCGACCCATTAGTGCTACAACCATAATATAACTGCAGCGTGGATCTACCACGTATAAATGTATGCAACATACATTGTTAGAGCCGTGGTAGCTCAGATGGTTAGCGCTCGCTGTAAATTTCATAATACGCGAGCAAACCGGGTTCGATCCCCGCCGGCACCAATGAAATTGTTAACTGCAGTTTTATGTGCTGATTTACCACGTGCTCGGCGGTGAAAGAAAACATCGCGAGGAAACCTGCATGTCTGAGAAATAAGAAAAAAAGAACATTTCGAAGACATGTGAAGTTCGCCAATACGCAGGGCAGGGCAGCGCGGCGGACTATTCCTTGCCCTAAAACCCTCTCAGAAATGAGAGGAGGCCTGTGCCCAGCTCTGGGACGTATATTGGCTGTAACTTTACTTTACTTTATACATTATTAGGTTAACAACTAAAGACCAGTATTGGCTTCGCATAGGTAGAGTCAATAAATGTGTGTTAGTTAGATTTAAGATAATCAAAAGCAACTAAAAAAATTGCAAGTTTTTGGTTTAAAATAGAATCTAGATCACTCTAAAGCTTACAGTCGGTTCAACCATTTGCTAGATTAGCCCGGACGTACCCATTTTGACAGACAGACAGTGCACACTGCTTATCATAATCAGCTATATATTAAGACACTTATTTCGAATTACAGACGGATACATCAATTTTATTTAAATGCTTATAGATATAAATAAAAGATATCCGCCGTAGAACCAGATTAACCGACATCGCCCAAAGGATTGGTAAGCTGAAGTGGCAACGGGCCGACTATACTGCTCGAAGCAGTAGTAGTAGACATAACTTCAACATAAGCCTGCATCCATTGAATTCCTGCATATCTTACCAGACCGTCACTCCATCTAGTGGAGGACCGACCTACACTTCGTCTACCGGTACGAGGCTGCCACTCGAGAATCTTTCTTCCACATCGATTGTCGGTTCTTTGAGCTATATGACGACCATTGCCACTTCGCTTTACCTACTGCTCCGTTGGGCTGTGACGACCCGCCTGCTAGGTGTGGTAGCTATGGCATAATGCTAAAATGCTGTAATGCTGTCTACAGGTTAGGCCTATAATTAGCAATTAAAAACGTAGTTTAATATTAATCCTTATAAAGCCTTCTCTTGACGTGTACCTACTGCGTATAGATCAGTGAATATTTTATACACATAGCTAATTTAATTTATATGAAAGAGACCATTTCGCATCTTTCTCTAACAAGATTAGCTTTTCTAAATCGTTTTGCTTGTAAAGGCTTTCGTTTTTTGAGCGGTCGCACAAATTAATTCCGCCGATCGAGTTCAAATTCAATTTAAACTGACGCGAGCCTAAATCCTAAAAGTTTGATTTAGAGTCGATAGCCAGATGTCAGCAGCAGTCAAGTTTGCTGCCCTTTATTAATTTCACAATTGTTTTGTTAGCTTCGCGTGTATCTATCTATTTATGTAATGAAATATTTTTATGTAGTTTTCAGCAACTTCTAGCCGGTCGATTGACCTGAAAATTTGCTCTCGTATCAAGGATGGACGATAATACAATAATTTAGTAACTTTATCCTAGTATACTGGTTCAGATCATCAGGATAAAATAAAATAATTACATATTTTACTTACATATTTTTTACATATTATTTTTATATTAGTAAATAATAGTAAGTATGTATTAATGTAATGGAATTTTGTAATACGACTTTCCCCCACTTCTAGAAGTCTGATTAACTTGAAATTTTGCAGACGTATTAAGAACCGATCACAATACAATAATTTAATTATTATGATCTAGTAGGTAGTTCACACTAACATCATCACAGCTCATGATCTATGCATGTTGTTTATGTTTTTTTAACTCTAATATTATTATTTGTCATTATTTAAACATAATATTATAGTAGTATCTGTACTATATCACGTTACATTATCATATTGGTTGCAGCGCGAATGATTAGATTGATCGGTGAGCGAACAGTCCATGCTCGCGTAAAATACCAGTGCACATTTAAGTTACAGCCTATATACTTGTCACAGCTGGGCACAGGCCTCCTCTTATTTCTGCGAGGGTTTTGGGGCAAGGAATTGTCTGCCGCGTGTGTGCCTCAATGCACGTTGGTGAACTTCACATGTCTTCGAAATACATTTTCCTTCACCGCCCAACACGTATTAACACAAACATAATCAGTGCCGACGGGAATCGAATCCGGGTCGCTCGCGTACTGTAAAATTTACAGTGAACGCTAACCATCTGAGCTACCACAGCTCAACAATACAAATATCGATAGAGATTAGAAAGTAATTTTCTTATTAATATATATTTTTTACGTTTCCTTTATATTGTGTTTTCTGTCTACTTCATAATGTATGTAATTGTAGTAATGCCAATAAGACGTGTCTATTGCGTTTTTTTTTTTATAATAATTTTGGGGCGCCTTTTTTTTTTTATAGGGGGGGGCGGGGGCCCTCCCCATTATTTTTCTTTTTTTGAGCTTTTTTTTAATTTTGTGGATTTGGCGGTGGCGAACCGCGTATAAAATTATTATTATGATGAAGCTGAAGAATCCCGACACTTAACACGATCTCATTTGTCCTTTTGTTCCAGGGTTTCTTTGAATGGGACTCTGGAGGTGTCTCGAAAGCGCGACGGTGGTGGGGACGGTGTGTACCAGTGTGCAGTGCGCCACCATGCCGGTGTGGTGCTAGGCAACCCCGTGCATCTCAAGTTTGCCTGTAAGTATAAAACAATGCTATTGTGTCGTTGGCTTTACTAACTTTTATGCTATTATGAGTTACAAAATTAATAAACTTAATTGAGTGAAGAGATATGTGAAAATTACATGAGGCCTAAATAACATCCTAAGACCAGGTCTATGGTTCGATCTGTTCATGATAAAGTGGCACGATGACAGCGCCGCCACATGGTTCGGAAACTTTGATGGCATGATCTGTATCATACGTAATATGATACTATTACCGATTATCGCTCCACAAACTCCATTTTGAAGGACTCCACTGGAGGATTTGACTTAAACTGGTTCAAAGGGTTGGAAAGTCGCTGTAATTACAGACTGGTTACAATAGGACAACTCAAAGTGGCCTCCTTTGTTTAAAGGTTGCAGGTGGCTGTAGGATGGATGTAGCAGCTTACAACCAGATGGACTGCTGTTTGTTTTCATTCCAAAGTTTATCAATTGGATAAAAATTGAGTATTGGAAAAAAATGATGAAAATGTATCAAAGATTTTAGTTGAGTTACACTGTTAAAAATAAGTGCCTCCTCTTCTATTAAAATTGTCTCGAGTTCTATTTTTACAGTGAATTTTTTTATTTAAAAAGAATATTAACAATGCTACAAACATTACTAATATTCCCCTAAACCACTCGTGGTAAAAGGTAAAGCTTAAATTGCTTGTGTTACGACTGGTTCACGCCAGTAGTCGAATGGCGGATTCGAACCCACGACCTTTTTGAGTTCGCGGTCCGCGCCCATCCATTAGGCTACTGTCCCTTCAAAACGTCTTTATTTCAACGGCTTTTTATAATGAATTTGAACTGTATCTGTGACTACGTCACCACTTAACATGAGCCCGTCGTACATAACTTAAAATTGGATGAAGTTACGCAAAAAGGATTCAACCCGGAGACAAGACAAAAATGAGTTATTAAAGATGAAAATAAAAATATCTTTCAGACCGAATTTTAGTCACGGCAATTCTCAACATAAAGAACCTATCTGCGAAAGACAGGAATATAGTGCACGAGTGCATGTACAAGCACAGGTGTACTCTGTATTCTGACACGATCGGAGAAATCTAATGCACAGGACCAATGGCTTTTTGTGACTACCAGGGCACGCTAATTACCTGACTCCGGGCTGCTATTGAGAATTTTTTACTAGAAAACTCAATAACTGATTTTTTGACCCAATCCGAGCTCGAACCATACGATCCAAAAAAATCAAACAACAATTTTTGTTTGACTTAGGGATCTTCATAAAAAGAGATAATTGCTTCTTAAAAGGCTTGCAACGCACCTGCAATTGCGCTTGTGCAGCAGATGTTCATAGGCGACGTTCGGCACTTACCATCAGGTATGCCGCATGCTCGTTTATCGAAGCAAGTCACTATTAATGACTTGCTTCGATAAACTTCGATAAATCACTACTGATTAAAAACTTTAACCTCAATATCTCGACATTGAGTTTTAGTGGGCTGGATCCTTTTTGCATAAGTACGTCCTGTTCAAATTTGATTCAAGTGTTTCTTTCAATTCGCTGTAAATTTTAAGCCTCTGCAACAAAGTCTCCACAAGGAATTTTTCAAAGCAACGTTTACGAGTTTCCGTGCAGAATATTCTGTAGAGATAGGCGCTTTTTTATAAGTGGAGTACGTAATACTTTGATCTTGCCGCGTGTCGACTCCTATTTGCGACGCGGCGAAGGTTTCCTTTTTTAGTAATTCTATGTACTTTGAGGGATAGTTTTTTTTCTCGAAGTTGGGAAAGTAAATTTCATAATAAATATAAGGACCAGTAAGGATGTTGTTAGTTTAGTCATAAACTTATAAATCTTACTTATCACGTTTTATTCTAGAATGTTCAAATTGTGGTGGAAATGGTCAATCGCTACTTTATAAGGTCCGCCATATTGGATTAAAAATGGCGGCGATTAAGTAATCCTGCATTTTATAACGAATCAATGTGTGAAAAAATGTGTGTGCCAAATTTTTACCCGATACCTTGAGTTTAGGCTGGTGAAATATTGATTGCAAAATTTCAGGACATACATACATACAAGTGATGTTAAATAAAAGCTTTTAATAAAAATAACTGGCGGGAAGATATTAACTTCGTGATAGCAACAAAAGCAGTTTCACATTGCCTTCATTCTCGGCGAGGCGTAGCCATTCAGTAATGAGCTAAAAGGGTTTTTATTTAATCCTTTCAACTTTAGATGCAGCTTGTATTCAGACCGTGTGGCAGCTCGTAGGGTTGTCGTGCGTTCAATTGGGGCGCACCATTGTGGCTTTTCATTACCCTGAATATTAATTAAGGGAGTGATCCCTATGGTCCAACAGAAGCTGGGCTAACACTCTGAGTGTTCAGCATTCATACTCGGCTAGGATTTGTTATAAAAATTAAAGAGGCAATTAAAAATGGTATTATGTGCTACAATCTAAATCTTCCTGATAGTTATTTAATAGCTGAATAAAAACAAAAAAAACTGCCGTTGCCAATTCGCTTGCCAAACGTGGCAGTTATGCCAGACATTCCTTCTATGAGGTTATCTATGGTGGATGCCTATGGTACAGACAGTATTCAACGTTTGATAGTCTAATGGAATTGATTTATTTGATATTATAATTAAAGTATATGTTAATATACGTACTATAGAGCCATCTATCGAAGTCTAGCAAAACTATGAGCCATTGTCCAAATTTGTGTGATGTCAACATGACTATGTGTACACAAAGTACACTGTTTTATATTATAAACTGAAGTGAGCAATGAACTTACTGTCCACCTGCTGGTAAGTGGCTACTGCAGTTCACTGACACCTGCAGCCTCACTTTTTTTTTTTTATAGGATAGGGTGACAAACGGAAGTCCACTATGGTAAGTGGTTGTCGCGAATCTTCTATTTTTGTGTATATAATTGAGCAGGTGTATAAAATTTCACTCAACTTCAAACATCTCCAAGCTACAGATGCGTTGTTACGTAAGTATTAAGATGGAATGCCTCCCAGACTGTAATTATATTGATTCTCATTGTCAATCGTTACTAGGAAGACGCTGCTACTTTTTCTTTCCCTGCTGCCATTTGTTTCCCTTAGTCGCCTCTTACGACACCCGTGGGAGCCTATGGAGTAGTAGATATTGTTACACCCTCGCTATACGATATAAGATTAATTTTTATTCATTATAGATTTGTAGTGTCGGTGTAACAATATCCACTACCTCATATCGTCCCAAGTGTGTCGTAAGAGGCGACAGAGGGAAATTGAAACAGGAGATTGGCATAAGGTCCTCCTGGTAGCAATTAAAAAAATCTGCGGTTACCAACGCGTTTGCCAAGCGTGGAAACTATCGCAAATATCCCCCTATGAGGCAATCTATGGGGGAGGCCTGTGTTCAGCAATGGAGACAGATCAGACTTTAATAGGCTGTGACGGTAACGGTAATCAATTCTGTTGTATTCTATAGTCCTCAGGGGTAACAACGCATCAGCAGTTTGATTCTTTATCGAGGACAGATGAAGATGTCTATCGGCCACAGCATCCACTTAACATCAAGTGGACTGTGCTCGCTGGTCATACTCATTTTATAAAAAATCCTAAGTCTAATCTTTATAGCATATCGCCTATTAATTACACACCCACTGGAAGAAACGGAGTGAAGGATTGTTTAAAGTTAACGACTTGTTCCACTAATTGAAACTATTCTACACGCTTAAATTGTTGTACGACTTTCGTTACTTGGAATTTGAACGAAAGTTCTGATGAAGTTAAGTCAAATTTGCTTCTACCTCGTCTTAATGAGAGTTTATCAATAGATTACAGGCGTACCGGATTTCGATTGTACTTAGCAATTTATTACTATATCAAGATATCTATATGGTATCGATGGAATTTAAGACCAGGTTGGACAAAATTTCGTATTTTAGACGCGATTTTAACGTTCGAAAATTGATGCTTGTTGAAATATGTTCGGATAAAAACATGCTTATAGTTCCATAATCAAATGCTTTATGTGAATCTAGATGATATATATCCATAATTTAATCGCTGGGAAAAAAACATTGAGATGTTGGAGTTCTCATCTTTTGTGTTATAATCATATGACATTTTTGAAAATGAATGTGAAAACATTTTTGAATTATAGTCTTTACAAATTTATTTAGATCCTTCATTTTGTGATAATAAGCAAATATAAAATACCTTTTTGTACATGCAATGTCGCAAGCTTACTTCGTGCTGGAAAAATAACATGAATCGGAGAAGTAGTCGTAAGTCGGAAAATATAAGGCTTTTAGGAAGGCTTTTTAGACGTAGGGAATCTTCGCCTTCATAAACGATTTTTATGGGTAACATGCAAAATCCCTTCCATCATACCTCGTGCGTTTTTTGGGCATGCGAAATAACCTCATCCATTTCAGACAGACTAGAACTACATGTATGCAATTAATTTGCCCTGTTTCGCTAATCATTAAACGTTGAGATTTATATACTCTATATACTTCTTGTCTATCACTGAATGCTGATTGGCAATCGGTCACAACCGCTCTGCTGAGAACATGCATTTTGTACGTGGTAGCGCCACGCTGCAGCTATACTATAGTTGCAGCACGAATGGGCCGGCTCGACCGGGTTGGACCACGCTCTCACAGAATACTAGTGCTGTGTTTCGTATGGTGAGTGTAGATAACCGCAGACCCTTTTTACTGGAATCGAGGCATTCCATCTTAGTCCTCACGGGTGACAACGCATTTGTATTTTGATTCTTGATTGAGGATAAATGGGGATGTCTATGGGCCACAGCATCCACTTACCATCAGGAGGACTGTGTGCTTGTTTTTAATTCAATACTATATAAAAATACATACATACATATACATACATACATAAACACTCACGCCTGTCACCCAGAGGGGTAGGCAGAGACTACAGACTTCCATTTGGCACGATCCTGATACACCTCTCTTGCCTCCTTCACATCCATACACCTACGCATACGT